CCACTCACCAAAGTAGGATGCAGAACATTTTCTTAATAAACTTTGTTATGCCAGTTGACCTAGATGTCCCCTGAAAGCATGGTCCCCAGACTTCTACCCCTGCTACTCTGTCCCTCAAAGTGTTTGGTTGTATTCAGGAAACTTCTTAGCTTTGGTTTAGTCCAGTTGTGCTGACTTCCCCTGTAGTGTCTGCGGTCCTTCCTTTCACCTAAGATAATTCTTGTCTTGCCCACTTTTTAAATTGGATTTGTTTTCTTATTAAGTGTTAAGAGTTCTCTGTATATTTTGGATACAAGTCCTTTATCAGATATCTGTTTTGCAGATATCTTCTCCCAGTCACCTAGATTTTCTCTTATATTATCTTCTACAAGTTGTATTGTTTTGCATTTTACATTTAGGTTGATGATCCATTTTGTGATCTTCCCAAGCTTTTGGGGAAGGTCTAAGTCAGTGTCTAGATTTATTTTTTTTGCATGTGGATGTCCTGTTATTCCAGCACCATTTGCTGAAAAGACTATTCTTTCTCCATTTAGTTGCCTTTGTCAAAGATGAGTTGACTATTTGTGTGGGGTCTCTGTTCTGTTCCATTGATTTATGTGTCTAATCTTTTGCCAGTACCACACTATCTTCATTACTGTAGCTTTATAATAAGTCTTCAAGTTGGATAGCGTCAGTCCTCCAAGTTTGTTCTTCTTCAGTATTTTGTTGGTTATTCTGATTCTTTTTGCTTTTCCATATAAAAATGTCAACACTGTTATCCAAGAGGTTCTGGATGGTCTGGAGTTTCAAAGGCCAAAATGTGCCAATTTGTAAGCTACCTAATTAAATTCTATCATTTTAATAAAAGTTGTTTAGACTTAACTACCAGTTGTTAAGCAGCTGTTGTGTGCTCCGTCTTTTCCTGGTCTTACAGCCTTTCCTTTCCACACTGGTATCAGCTTTAGAGACAAGACAATAAGTCAGGCTTTGGACTTTCAGAGTTCTTCAACTCTACTAGCTGGTCACTTTGGCCAAATAATTTCATTTTTCTATTTTGTAAAATAGGAATAATACTAGCTGCCTAAGTTAACAGTTGTAGGAATCAAGTGAGGTAACCCATTGAAATAATTTAGTCAGGGTGAGACACAATACTTTTCTTTCCTTCTTTATGCATCAATCTCATAAAATGCATTTAGAAGCAATTCCTGCTTCAGCTCAATCCTGTAAAATGAAAGGAGTTATCTTTCCACCTAGTAGAGTTCAGGATCTCAGTTTATCAGGTTAGAACAAAGGCCAGCTACCTCCTTTATCTCACGTAGATGGAAGGACAGTCCAAGTGGCCCCTGTATTGCTGGACTGTTGGCAGTGTGTCCTTAGCAGCTAGAAAGGCTCTTCCCAGCAGCAGTTTATGCTGGGGCGGGGGTGGAGGGTGGGGGTGATGTCACCAATTTTTCTTTGCCTCTAGGTATTTTGTTTTTATTCATTGCCAGGTTTCTTCAGAGCTTGTATCTTTGGTTTTGGCAAGTTTGATTATAATGTATCTTGGTGACTTTCTTTTGGGATCTACCTTATGTGGGGTTCAATGAGTGTCTTCGATAGATATCATCTTTCACGATATCAGGGAAGTTTTCTGCCAACAAATCGTCAACAATTCTGTCTGTATTTTCTGTTACAACCCCCTCCCCCCGTTCTGGTACTCCAATCACTTGTAGGTTATTCCTCTTGATAGAGTCCCACATAATTCTTAGGGTATCTTCATTTTTAAAAATCTTTTTATCTGATTTTTCCTCAAATAAGTTGGTGTCAAGTGCTTTATCTTCAATCTTACTAATTCTGACTTCTATTGACTCAATTCTGCTCCTATGACTTTCTGTTGAGTTGTCTAATTCTGAAATTTTATTGTTAATCTTCTGGATTTCTGATTTCTGTCTCTGTGTGGATTCTTATGCTCTTCTCTAATCTTTTTAATTTCCTCTATTGCGTGTTCTGCGTTTTGCTTAATTTCCTTTCTAATTTCTTGAAGAGTTCTGTATATTAATATTTTGTATTCTGCCTCCAGTAATTCCAAGAAATTTTCCTCCTCTGGAAAATTTCTAGATTTTTTATTTTGGGAGCTTGCTGAAGCCATCATGGGTTGCCTGTTTATGTGATTTGATATTGACTGTCGTCTCCGAGCCATCAATAAGTTATTATATTTATTTATTTTATGTTTGCTTACTGTGTCATAGCTTCTTGTTTTGTTTTGATATGCCCAAATAGGCTGCTTGTATGAGCTAGTTTGATTATTGGCACATTTGAAGCTCTAATGTCCTGTCACCCAGTGTTTATATCAGTTACTAGGTATGTGAACTCAGGAGTCCGCCCACTCCTCCTGTATGGATTCAGCTCAGGTGCCCAGGTGGATAGCCACCAAGTGTGTGGTGTGGGCTCACACTTACAGTCCTGGACAGGCATGGTGATTAGTGTAGGCACAGGCATCTGGCTGCAGCAGGGAGACACACTCTGAGCAAGGCAGGGAGCTGATGGCTGCCCCCGAGTGTCCAGGAGGAAGGCGTTTCCCTGTTCCCTAGAGTGTGTAGGTGAGTGGGTTTTGCAGCTGGACTATGAGCACCTAATGCTTTTGGCTGTAAGGACTGGTGGGCACCTCTTATTCATGGACCTCTATCGCAGGTGGCTAGGTGGTGTGGGTGGAGCCATCAGTCCTCAGGCCCCTGATGTGGGTAGGTGAAGACCCTGCTTAATGGGCAGAGCAGTGTCAAATGTCAAGAACCTGCCACTTCACAGCTGAAACAGTTGAAGTTAGAGTTCCGTATATACCCTGTTGTACTGTGGTAATGAGGGCCTACACTGTTGAGACGGGCCCACACAAGTCTATGCAGGGGAAAGGCGCTCAAAGTCCACAGATCCGTTATGTGTGTGCCTGGGCAAAGGAGCTGTGCCTACCCTGGGTTCCTGGCTTAGGGGAGCCGGCAGTTTATTTTTTCCCATTTGTTAATTTGTTCACTCTCCAAGGCAGGGAGAATGACTTCGGGCGTGTGACGGATCCTCCTTCTGGCTCAGGGGACTCGGCAATTGCTGAAGCTGGTCCAGGACCCAGTGCAGAGCAGGGAGCGGGGAGGTAAATGGGAGAGAAGTTTTTCCCTAAGGGAGGTGTTTTTGATCTGCGCTGTAGGCCATACGCAATTACTTATCTTTCGCCCATGAGGGCTGCTTCTCACTGGTTCTGGGTGGCCAAGTAGACTCCCTGGTTCTAGGTCTCTCCCTGTGCGGAAAACGGGCCTCCCAAGCATGGCTGCTTGCCTGCCTCACCACTCACCCCAGAGCTGCTCAGGCCTGAAGGGCTCAGGCTCTCGCCGGGTCAGGTCTGGCGACTCCTTGCTGCTTCCGAACAGTCTATCCCTCCCCCTGCCACTCGGTCCAGTTCTTCAACTCTGCCTTTGATGTTCAGGGCTCCCAGATTGCCATAGATAATCAATTCACTTGTTTTTTTGGGTCTTTGTTGTAAAAGGGTCCACCGGAAGTGTCTGACTACTCTGCCATCTTGGCCCCGCCTCCCAGAGCTTGTATAAGGTCTCACAAGCAGGGCCAGTTCTCAGGTGAGGCAAGTCAGGGGTCTAGGGTGCAAAATTTAAGGAGGCAGTCAGTCTCAGGGTCGTGTAAGATCTCAACACCAACAAATTTTTCTTCCCTATCCGCTGTATCATGAGAAAGTTTGTCCTTACTAAAAGAAAATAAATTTAGCTCATACTCATTACGCAGAGGATGGGCCAGTTGTCTTAGTGATGCAGCACAGGGGGCTTACAGTGGGAAAGGAAAAGTCCACTTACCCTGGTCTGCTTTTATTAAACTCCCTGAGTGGGCAAACAGTTTGCACTCTACTACTAACCTAAAGGTTGGTTGTTTGAACCCACCCAGAGGTGCTGTAGAAGAAAGGCCTGGCGATTTGCTTAAGTAAAGATTACAACCAAGAAAACCCTATGGAGCAGTTCTACTCTGTAACACATTGGGTAGCCATGAGTTGGAATGGACTTGATGGCAACGGGTTTGGTTAAACGTTTTTGCTGTTTTGTTTTTAAATACATGCTGGGTTACGTGCCCATTCTTCATGTATTCCTGATGTGAGAAGAGGGGCCATCAAATGCTGTACCCATGTGTCCAAAGCGAAGGGGACTATTCAGGGTTTTTTTTGGACCACCTCTATTCTTAAGCTTCCAAATCTGTAGCGGTGCCTCTCCAGGTTAAGTTATCCAAGCTCCTGCCCCAGATCATTTCTCCCTCTACCGCTCCAGGGCCCAGTGGCTCAAAAATTCACCTTGGAGCAGGAAGGACACGCCAAGCGCCCGCTGCCCCTGCAGCCTGTGGTGGGGACGGCCCTCAAGGCGTCAAGCCGGTGGCTGAGACCATGTCCGGGAATGCGACCAAGACCCTGGGGAAAGGTGAGTCCCCCCGACGAGTGCCCGCAGGCTGGCGGCCTGGGGGCCGTGAGGCTGGGGATGTTGGCTCTGGAGCAGGGGCCTGAAAATAGCACCAATGGCATTTCCTTTTAAATTGCTGAATGATCTCTTACAGCTGGCGGTGGAAACTGCAATGGCCAATAGAAACTGCTTGTTAGCGCCCCTCATCAAGCGGTGCCCAGGGCACACCCCTACCTGCCATACCTTAGTTCCGCCTCGGCCTGGAAACGGGGTCGCCGGGCCTTGGCCCACAAACCAGCGGGGCGGGGAGGGTTCCCCTGTAAAAAAGCCACGTGCAAAAAGCGAGTACTTTCTGGGACTCAGTCTAAGAGCCCAGCTCTCCTGGGGTCCTGGGGAAGTGAGTGAGCTCCTCTCCCACCCAGCTAACCCGCCTCTCCCTCTCCTTGCAGGATGCGCCCCCCCAGGGAGGGTCCCCGAGGGCACGATGCGCCTCTACAGCATGAGGTTTTGCCCCTACTCTCACAGAACCCGCCTAGTTCTCCAGGCCAAAGGAATCAAGTGAGAAACGAGCCCCCAGGCGCGCGGAGGTGGAGGTGGGGTGGCGTGTGTGTGTTTAAAATATGGGGCGCCCTGTCCCTTTCTTCCTGGGCAAAAGGCAGATTCTTTAACAGGCCGTCCTGAAATGCAGAGCTCTTTCGGGAGTTGGGCCTGTGCACAGAACTTTTAGAACTCAGGGTTAAATGAATCATAGGTCTGGTGAACTAGTTCCCTCCCGTAATATTTGTGAAGGAAAGGCACAGGGAGGCTACCAGCCACCTGACTGCCCCATGGAATGGAGCCCTTCAGACACATTCAAGTCAGCCCTGTTCTCGTTCTTGCTTGTGCTTACCCACAGCCAACATATCCATCTTCCCTTACACCCACCCCTGCCCCAGCCTGCTAAAATGTTAAGCTCTTGAGAGTAGGGACTTTGTTTATTTTATTTATAGGCTAGAAGAGAGGCTGGCACATAGCAGGTGCTTGATAAATATTTGTTGAAAGAATGAACAAATAGTTCCAAACAATGAAAGGAGCCCTGGTGAATCAGTGTTTAAAGCCCTCCTCTGCTAACCAAAAGGTTGGAGGTTTGAACCCACCAGCTGCTCTTTGAGAGAAAGATGTGGCAAAAAAGAAAGATCTTTGATGTTCTGAAAAACAGGTGAAACTGTGCACTACACATTAGTAAGTAAACACAAGTAAGCCTGTGAGTACCTTGCTTATTGGGTAATCCATCCCTTGGCGGGGCTGTCTTATGCATTGTTGTATATTTGATAGCACCCCTGGCCTCCTCCTCTAGATGCCAGAAGAACTCCCCTCACCCCCCATTGTGACAACCGAAAATGTCTCCAGACATTTACCCAATGTCTCTTGGGGGAGAGGGGAAAATCACTCCTGACTGAGAACCACTGCTTTCGAGTTTAAGGCAATCTCCTAGACTGAGCAAAGAATGTGCCCATTTGTTTCCTTCAATCTTTTTAAACATGGGAGTACCTCTGGCAACTTTATAGGTTTGAATCCTTAATAATAATAATTAATAAGGAGAAGAATAAGAACATCATTGCATACTTATGTACTAGACGCTGTCCTAAACATTTTATCCATATTCATTTATTTGTTCCTCACAACACTGACAAGAGATGGGTACAATTATTACCCCCATTTTACAGTTAAGGAAACTAAGCACAGAGAGATTAAGGAATCTGGCCAAGGTCACACAGCTAGACTGCTTCAACCTGAGGCAATCTGATGTCAGACCCATGCTCTTAAATGCTGAAATTTACCCTATTCTGTTGCGACCTGTTAATATCAGATTTGTATTTTCAAGCTTTAAAATGTATTAAACTCTGTAGTGCCATGGTTAAGTGTGTGATCTCTGAATCAGGCTGCCTGGACTCTGATCATGGCCTGCTACTTCTTAGTGGGCGAATTCAGGGATGGATCACCTAATAAGCAAGGTACGCACGGGCTTACTTGTGCTTATTTACTCAGCTGTAGTGCACTAAGGTTTGTAAGTAAATACAAGTAAGCCCGAGCGTACCTTGCTTACTGGGTAATCTGCCCCTGGTGACATTGTACACAAGATTCAACCCCCCAGAGCCTTAGTTCCTATGAAGTAAACCTACTTCATGGAGCCCTGGTGGTACAGTGGATAAGAGCTCAGCTGCTAACCAAAAGACAGGTATTTCGAATCCACCAGTCACTCCTTGGGAACCCTATGGGGCAGTTCTACTCTGTCCTATAGGTTTGCTATGAGTCAGAATTGACTCGAAGGCAATGGGTTTCGTTTGGGGTTAAATCTACCTCATAGGGGAATTGTGAAGCGCAAATGGGATGAAGCACTGAACACAACTTACTACAGGAATGAAGACAAGGATGTTCTGTATTTTTCTTTATACAAAAGTTAAACTTTAAAAAACTAAGTGCAATTTTAATTGTATAAATGGATTGCTTCAACTTTCAGGATGAGCATCTGCCCACACGAGCCTTTTATTTTGTCCTGTCTTGTTTTCCCTTCGCTTTTTAAGATGCCAAGTTGTCAACATTAATCTGAGAAGCAAGCCTGAATGGTTCTATACAAAGCATCCCTTTGGCCAAATACCAGTCCTGGAGAACAGCAAGTGTCAACTGATCTATGAATCTGTCATCATTTGTGAGTACCTGGATGACGTATACCCCGAAAAGAAGCTGTTTCCATGTGACCCTTACGAGCGAGCTCGCCAAAAGATGTTATTGGAGCTATTCTGTAAGGTATATCCAGTTATTTTTTTAATAGGCCACGTACACTATTTTGCTTTGTATGCCTTTCTTTCCCAAACTTCAGCCCATTTTTAAAGTTCCAACCCTGGTGGAATTGTTTGGTTTTAATACCCAGGTGTGTCTCAGGAGGATAACTGGCACAGAATTATAGGTGGTTTATGATCACTGATATTGAAGGTTAAAGTTTTAACTGATAGGCGCATTTCATTTTACATTTCACCCAGCAGTCTGGCAAGGTATAGTTATGCTGTGGTTATGACCATGTGACTTGAAAGAACTTGAAAGGTGATGCTTTAAAAGGAATATTTCTCAGACTTCCAGTAAAAAAATATTGAGGCTTGAAGATTATGCACATAAGGGGATTACCCTTTATGTCTAGGAAATGTGAAGACTAGAAAAAGGGGCCTCCTGTTGATAATGGAAGAAAAAGTGATGGAGAAATTTTAAGATAGTTGCCTTTGAAAAGAAATAAAAGCAACTCAATGATATCAATAGCTGAGATATATTGGTACTTATTATATGTCAAGCACTGTCCTAACTTCTTTATATAGGTTAACTCATTGAATCATCGCAACTGCCCTTTGAGGTGGGTACTGTTATTTTATCCATTTTTGAGATGAGAACACTGAGGCTTAGAGAGGTTAAGTGTCCTGCCTAAGATTGTACAGCATGGAAGCAGCTGAGCAAGTAAGGAGCACTGTAGAACCCTATTTGAAAACACCTGGTTTTATCAGGGTGCTATGAGAAGTGGATGCCTGAAACCAGAGATAAACTAATGAAAAAACCCATCACTGCTGAGTTGATTCTGATTCATAGTGACCCTATAGGACAGAGTAGAACTGCCCCATAGGGTTTCCAGGGAGTGGCTGGTGGATTTGAAATGCCAACCTGTTGGTTAGCAGCTGAGCTCTTAACTACTGCACCACCAGGGTTCCAGAGATAAACTAGTGTCGTGCAAAGGGAGTCAGGGAGTTTGTATGTGAGTGTTGGTCTATTATGTTTAAGTTATAAAGCTTTGGCTGCATTTTTAGGCAGAGAGGGCAAACAATTCCCTCAGTCTTCTCCACTAAGAAGCTGTGTCCTCTGATTAGGTCCCATATTTGACCAAGGAGTGTCTGATAGCAATGAGATACAGGAGAGAATGCTCGGACCTGAAGGCGGCCCTGCGTCAGGAATTCTGCAACCTGGAAGAGGTACAAAAAGGGGCCCCTCTCCTGGTCAGATACAGTGAGGAAGTGATGCAGAATCAATTGTTCACCTGCTCACCCTGACACCTCCGCTTTCACGAGCTTATTCTTTTTGCCAGACTTTGATAAGGTCAGCCTGTAGTCATCTGGTTTCAACTTGTGGTTCCCTGCCTTCCACTAACGTGCTCTGGAATTATTCATGAAAATCTGGCACAGAGTCGGCGAGGACTTGTGATGAATCCCTTCTTTTCCCAGAGTTACCACTTTCCCTGAGTATTTCTGTGGGGCTTCTGTAGCTTCTGCTAATGAGGCCAACGTCTGTTTTGGTTAGGGATTGTGTTTGGTTGCTAGTAAAAGGGACCTGACTACTGTAAATTTATCTTATAGGGGTTTATTCTCTCACATAAAAAAACCAGAGGTAGGCGGTTCAGGGCTATTTTGATGGTTTCTTCATGAAGTTACCAGGGACCCAGGCTCTTTTTGTCTTTCTGCTCCATCATCCTTAGTGTAAGGCTTTCATGTTAAAGGTAACAATAAAGCTGCTGGAACTCCAGCCATCACATCCAAGTTCCAGGCTGCAGAAAAGAGAACAGAAAGGAGAAAATAGCAAAAGTCCATGCCCCTTTAAAGGGCTTTCCCAGAAGTCCTACCCAATGACTGACTGATTACATCTCATTGGTCAGAACTTAGTTGTATGTCATGACTAGCTCATGAGGAGGATGAGAAATGTAGTCTTTTACCTGAGGATACTCTGAGTAAAATCAGGGCTCTGTACTTAAGGAAGAAGGGGAAACTGGCTATGGGTGGGCAAGGAGCAATCTCTGCCAGCAGGTCAATTATTAGCCTGGCCATAAGGGGTCTACTTACCCCTTACCTCTAGAATAATCCAGAAGGCAGTTCTTTGACTTTCTTTATCTTTGCTCCAGAAAGTGATCATTTCCCTTTCTGAGTGGGTTGTCCCTCTGTTGGCAGCCAGAGAATGCTATTTTTATCCCTTAGGGGAAGGCTGATATTATGAATACCTTTCCATTTGACCTTTATCAAATAGAAGCAGATTACATTTATTTACACTTCAGTTGCCTATCTTAGATTTGTACAATTGCAGTATTTATGGATGATGTATAGTCATGTGTAAGAAATGCCAACCTTTCGTCCTAGGCCGTAGGCTGTGGCCTTGAGCCTGATGGAGGCAGTATGGTGCAGTAGAAAGAGTCTGAGCTCTTGGATCCTGGTCTTGGCTTTGCCAGATCCCAGAACGTTGGGCAAGGCTCTGGACATCTCTGGGCCTTGTTTTCCACGTTATAAAACAGGGCAGTGTTTTGAAAAGTACGTTCCTCAGAGCCTCCAGGTTCTGCAGAGGGATCACCCAGGTAAGGGCAGCCTGTGGGTGGTTCCACATCCACCCAGACCAGCCCTGCCCTTAACCACTCTGCTCAGCAGAGCATCTAATAAGATATCATTTGTGGGGTGGAGGGGTGGGGCAGGGGATTGCTGCTTTAAAAAAATGCTTGGAAACTCCTGCAAATAAAGAATTTTCAAGGTTTTCATTTTAAGATGAGCTTACCGGATCTCATCATTCCTGGTTACCTTCTTCCTGATAGTTGCTGGGTGAAAGGATCCGGGAAGCAAAATCCTTTGAATTCAGAACCATTGCCATGAAGTTGATTCCGACTCATAGTGACCTAAAGGACAGAGTAGAACTGCCCCATAGGGTTTCCAAAGCTGTAATCTTTATAGAAACAGACTGCCACATCTTTCTCCTGTGGAGCTGCTGGTGGGTTCAAACTGCCGACCTTTAGTTAGCAGCCGAGCGCTTAATCGCTGCACCACTAGGGCTTCATTGGAATTCAAAGATAATATTTTAAAATCTGTCTCCTTCCTACTCTGCATTTGGATGATGGATGAACTTTGTAATTACAGATTGCTAAACAAATGTATGGTGGAAGCCATTTTTTCAGCTGGGCTCTTTTCCGGGGGAAGTGAACCAGTATTTTTGTGTCAGGCATTATGCTCCAGACAGTTTGTATATCCCATCTCATTTAATCCTTCCAGCAGCCTTCTCAGGTAAATGATGCTATCCCTACTTTACAAATCTGAGTGGCCTCTATGTGCAGGCTTGAATTAGATACTACCCATTGCCGTTGAGTTGATTCCAGCTCATAACGACCCTATAGGACAGAGTAGAACTGGCCCATAGGATTTCCAAGGCTGTAATCTTTACAGAAGCAGGCTGCCACATCTTTCCCCCTTGGAATGGCTGGTGGGTTCGAACATCTTACCTTTCAGTTTGTAGCCAAGTGCTTAACCACTGTGCCACCAAGGCTCCTTGAGCTAGGTACTAGGAATACAGAAATTAAAGACCTTCAGGGGACTCAATTGACCAGCTCCAGGATACCACTGAATAACACATTTTCACTTTAGTAGCTGAGCCTGGGAAATACCTGTTGTTAACCAGCCCAGGTTTAGGTAGCTTTCACTGCTGCTGTTTAAGAACCATTGAATGTTCAGCATTGTCCTAAGAGGTCTGAAGTGGTTTCTGTCCAGTAAAATGTTAGCCAGAATCTTAACCACAATGTAGGCAATATCAGAATCTGAAAACTCCCAGTGAGCTTGAACTATTCAATCCATTCCTCTACATATCAATATATTTACTCTAGGAGAGTCTAGCAAAATTGATCCAATCAAAATAGAATCAGAATAATTCTGCTACAGCTGATCCCCTGACTTATGTAACTTCTCTACATGGCTTTGTACAATCGGAATTTTGTGTGAGCTGAAAATATATTAAACACACATGGGCTTTGAGTGATAAGTAAGCCATGATTTCAATGCATTATCTTCTGCCATGTTATCCCCAAGCAAAAGGTTCAGTTTACCTTTTGTAGCCTTAAATGCTGACGTGCTCTTTCTTTAGAAATAAATGTCCTATCTGACTTTATAATTTTTTTCTTAAAAAAATCCAATATCGTCAAAATAAAGTTCATGGTGCTTGTTATATAACCACATTTTTGGTAATATTTTTGCAATTCTTTGAGATATATTTCTGCTGCTCTTACTATCAAACTGACAGCCTCTCCACATGCTTTCCTGTTATGAACGTTGATTGGCGTAAGTTTTAAAACTGTTGGTTTTTATTTATTGCCTTTTTCTAACCACACTTTATGTCTTCAAACAGATTTCTAGCCTTTGCTGAATCATTAATCAAAGCAGCTCACATTGTTTTTAGCTATATTTTCTTTTTATGTTGTTATTGAATTTCCTTTTTCAAAATAGCACTCAAGCTGTTATCTTCATGGATTTGAATGTGGCAGAACCTTTCAGTGGCTCTATATTGCCAGCGCTTTCATTCAAAATATTTCATTGCAAAAGTAGTTAAATCAAGTCCAAGTACAGTACAAGGCAGGATACAGACAGATTTCTTTGTTGCTTTGGATTTTTGCTCTCACTTTTCTTGCACTTGTTAGTTCTTTCTTAGTTGTTAGTTGCCGTGAGTCAGCTCTGATTCATGGCAACCCCACGTAAAACAGAATGAAATGTTGCCCAGTCCTGTGCCATCTGCCCAGTCCTGTGCCATCTTCATGATCATTGGTATACAATTCAGAACATGGCTCTGCTGACACCCCAAATTCAGACGACTAGCCTCCGGTACTGTGAGACAATAAATTTCTGTTCTTATAAGCCAGCGTCTCAGTCATCTAGTGCTGCTCCAACAGATCACATTAAGACACTAATCTTGTCAACCTCATCAGTGTAACCTCATCACAGTGATAGAATTTATAACACGTGAGGAGATCACATATAATCTCATCATAGTGGTAGAGTTTACAACACATAAGGAAATCACATCCAATAACACAATCATACAATACTGGGAATCATGATCTAGCCAAGTTGCTACCCACATTTTTTGGGGGACACAATTCAATCCATGACATTCCACCCTTTGGCCCCCAAAAAATCATATCTTTGCAACATGCAAAACATTCATCTCATCATATCACAGCAAAAGTCTTAACTCCAAGTCCAAAATCCAAAAATTCCTCTTCATCTGTGAAATCTAGAATACAAGTTATCTGCTTCCAAAGGTACAATGGCAGAACAGGCACAAGGTAGACATTTCCATTACAAATGGGAGAAAAGGGAGGAGAAGAAGGGATAACAGGCACCAAGCAAGTCAGCAGAACACATTACATTAGCCCTCAAGGCTCTGAAAATAATCTTCTGTTCTCTGAGACAATTTACACAATAGCCCTGCCCTCCAGACTCTAGTTATTGGCCACAGTCTCCGGATTCTGAGTGGAGGCCCCTCAGCCCTGGGCTTCAGCTCCGCCTTCCAGGCCCACTGGGACAGCAACTCTGCTCCCCTGGCTTCAGGCGCACCATTCTACTACACCATCAGAGTGACAGCTCCACCTTTAGAAACACCAGGGGCCATGGCTCCACCCTTTGAAACCCCAGAGGTCTTGGCCATACCTTTTGAGACTGAGGCAGCTCGGCTTATTGTGTTCCTTGTCTCTTCAGGTTCTGCTTCCTGTGGCCCACATCTGCCCTACTGGGGCAAGAGTTCCAAAGCTTGGTAGTTCTCCTGATTAAGTGCCTGGAGGTACCCCACTCTGCCAGGAAGCCTCCTGCACACAGGCACTCAGCTCCCTCGCTCTGTGGGTCAGCAAGCCTAACTCCACCGATAAGTGCCCGAAGGCACCCCACTCCATCAGGAAGCCTCCTGCGCACAGGCACTCAGCTCTCTCGCTCCGTGGGTCAGCTCCAGTACCGTCTTGGGCTGGTCTCCTGGTTCTGCTGCTGCTGGTTCTCTGTCACTGCCGCTTCTGTGTTGCTGCAGGTTCTCTGCCACTGCTGGTCCTCTGCCGCTGCCACACCTCTATCCATTCACAGTTTCAAAACCACTTCCACATTTTAGGTATCTGTCAGAGCAGCATCCCAGTCTTGGTACCAAATTCTGTCTCAGTTATCTAGTGCTGCTCCAACAGAAATACCACAAGTGGATG